ATAGTTGGCTGTGAGGATAAATTGCTATGCTTTTGGGTAACAGTCTTCATGCAGTGGTGTAGGATTTCTTACCACACCAGTTTGCAAGTACCCCTTGTTTCCTTACTTTTTCCCAATTCAATCCTTTTTCCCATTTTTAATGTTTTTTTATTTACTTGTTGGCCTCGCCCAGCTTTGCGTAGGCGAGGACTAGGTACTCAGTTTGTCTGTCTGTCATTACCCGAGACCGCGTAGGCGTTGGTCGAGGGTAAAGCAGTCGTCCTGTCTGTGTGTTCGCTTTGACCTCCACTTTTGAGCTGACACTGCTTTCTTGTCTTGTCCTGGAGAGTCTTATAATCAACACTAGCTCTAGAAAAAGTTATTCTCCGTCTTGGGAATCCTTGATTTGTCTTTTCCGTGGTAAAAGAAGCTGGCAAAGTCGCCAAACGTAGTCGGCTCTCCTGCAGCTCTTTCGTAGTGAAAGCAAAAGAGCAACAGGGCAGATAAAACAATAAAGCAAAGCCTCATCTTTCATTAATATGAGAGGAATTGCTCCAATCTTCTTCGTTTTAAAGATATGATAGCCCAAACTTTCATACCTTGTGAGTTTAGACGAGGCTCTCTTCTCCCGAGGTAGCGGCCAGAGTCTTTTAACATTAGGGACTAGATAGCAATTTGTATGCAACAAATAGAACCTAACAAATGTATGCTAAACTTTATAAAAGTCGAGAAAAACCAAAGCTTTCTTCACCACTTAGGGCCATGTGCCACCATTTACTGTGTGTGGGGGTGGAGCATGGCTTGATTGAGCCAGACCTTCATTGCAGCCACACCTTTACATTGCTGCAGCTAGCAACAGTGCAGCAAATATGCTTGGAGCTCTTTGTCTAAAAAAACAAAAAAAATCTCTGTCTGTCTAAAACATTCACTAAGTTTTAATAAATCTAGTACATGCTGAAGCTTTTTCTCTGTCTCAAAACTTTCACCAATTATTTTCTCTTAATCTATTGAAACTGTTACATACAGATTGTGTCGAGGGTACGCACTTTAGTGCTCTCGTTCATTCATTCATTCATTCTGTACAACTGAAATTTATTTTTAATAAACAATAACTTTAGCACAGCGTGTTCTAAGCTCCTAGATCTTTCTTTTTGATGTGGAAAAGTCTTTCTTAACTGTTTTGTGTTGCTCAAATACAAGTGCTAGGTACAGAAACTTCAAAGTAAGAAAATCGAGTAGTTGGGCCAAGTTCCGTTGTGTTGGCACTTTAGAGATAGCTGGTAGCATTTTTCAGTAGATTAGAACATGGCCTTCAAAAATTATGAACAGATTTCTCTAAATCTTACTTAAAGAAGAGTTATACTTACTTGAAATTGTTGAGGTCACTCGTTTGTACAGCGCTAGAGCAACAACTTGCTGGGTTATAGGTACTAAAGTACCTATACTATCTCAAATATACAAAGGCAGCAACTTTTTTTGTCAGCAAGTTTATCATATATTGCTGATTAGTAAAGAAAAAGTGAAGCTTCTTTCTCACATGGTCTTCTTGCTGCCACTCATGGAATGCCACACCTTTCAATCTACATGCATGGGAGGGGCTGGAGCTGCTTGCATGTATGTGCTGCAGTGCTGCTACTTCTGCAGATATTCAAGAGCAAGTGCAACTGTAGGAAGCTAGTGTTGAGCAGACTCTCTTCATGCTGATAATCAAACAGTTATTGAAGTGCGGGCATGCACCATAGCAGCTATAGGGGCGAGGCCATGCACCGTAGGTGTCTCGTTTATTGTTATCATTATATATACATGTATGTTATGGTATACTGCTACTTTTTTTGTGGGGTACCCCATGTATGCTCCTTTTCATCAAAGAGGGTAAGACTTGTTACTTCTCATGATTTCATTCCATTCTCTCTCTCTTGATCCTTTCTCTCTTCCTCCTTCTACTTTCTGTAGAAGAATTACTCTAACAACTAGATCAGTAGTGATGCTAAGAAAAATGGCTGTTGCTATGACAACTGTACATGTACATCCAAAAAGAGAATACTCAAAATATTTTCCCATTTTCTTTCTTTTTTTGTCCTGTATTATAATTTTTAAAAAGCAATTGCTCTGATGAAATCAATAAATTGATAAGAATCAATAAAAATTAATTATTCAAAATCAAAAATTACATGTATGATAATCTTTTATAATTGTCCAATAGTCTTTGTGCTAGTCTATCAGCTCTTCTTGTATTCTCTTGTTTAATTATTTCTAGAAACAAACCAAAATCTTCTCCATCCTCTCTAATGGATGCTTTAACTAAACTAAGTAGCTCGTCCATTCTATAGTTTGCAGTTAGTCCAGTGCTGGTATCAACAATTTGACCTTTTTCAGCATCACTTATCATCCTCTTCTCAACCAGCCTGTCTATCAGTGGATACAGACCAACCCTTTCCTTTATCATTCCAGTGCATTCTGTCATTACTCTATGAGCAATATCAGATCTAAATGTACCTATTAATGAATGAT